CCCCCCCCGTGCCTTGAGCCTGCTTCCAGCTTGCCTCACACCACCCTCCCTCCCCTGCTTCCCTCGAGCACCTCCCTTAGGCTCGTCTCTAGGCTGCCTACAAAGGGGGGCGCGCCTTTGAGGGGTCTCTCGAGAATGCATGACAAGGGAACCCCCAAGGGAGGCCCCNCCCCCCCCCCCCCCTTGCGCCGCTGCAAGGCGGCCTTGAGCGGGGACCTCGAGAGAAAGACCTTGCCGCCTGTGTTTAGCATGGTCTGCCAGGGCTGACTCTTTCTCTTTGCCCTTTCCCCTTGACATTGACGCGACAGGGACGCGAGCGGTCGTGGGCAACCCCTGGGCAGACGGCTTGCTTGTGGTGCTGTGTGTCCAGCTTGTCACTATTGCCAAAAAGCGCCGCGCACCGCGCGCTTGATCATCTCAACGGGGGTTACCAATGGCAGGCCGTACAATGTGCCCCTGTGCCCCTCATGCAAGCCTCCTCACTCTGCCAAGAGCATTGAGTCAGCTTGCCGCACAGAGAGTAAACCGCGTGGGAGCAAGAAGCATTGCCAGCTCACCTCGGCCAAGACACACACCTCCTCAAGGTACAAGCACGAGACAATTGTCTCAGGGCAGTACATGTTGGCCTGCAAATAGGTGGAACTTGTCAGCGACAGTGCAGTGCTGTAAAGGAAGAGCAGATGACAAGCGCACCGCCACAGAGAAGACCATCTTGACAACCCAGCTGACAAGCTTGTGTCGCCTACTGAGGGAAGTAGATGCGGGTGTGCTTGGCGTTGTGCAGGTGGCAGAGTGGATCCTTCTTGCAAACAAGCCTGTTTGCAACGTTTGCAAAGTCAAGGCGGTGCATGTCCTCGTCGATGTTCTGTAACAAAGCAGTGTTAGTCTGTGTTGTTGGTCTTGGGGAACAGCAAGCTTGATGCACTGCGCATTGTGCCCACTTTGTCAGTGCCAGGCAAGGTGAGCCATTTCACGGCGACGCGTCTTGCCCGTTGTTGTCAAGGTGAGGAAGCCCTCGAGTGTCCAGTCACAAACGCGCGGCTGCTCCTGCATCCTCTCCTGCGCACAATCAGGAATGCAAGAGTGTCAGCTTCATGGCCTGAGAGGTGAGGCAGGTGAGATTGTGCGCACCATGAAGAAGCTGGTGAGGACATAGCTAGTCCAAGCATCGAGGCCCTAGGGCACGAGCCCCAGCGACAGGGCGGCCTTGGTCAGCGGGCGCTTGAGTCTGTTCCTCTGGTCTCCTGTGCTTTTCTACCAACTGCAGGGCCAACAGGGTCAGCTCGAGAAGCACACACAGCAGGAGACGTCAGGAGGAGGTAGGGCGGGAGACGCACAATTCAATCTTGCTGTAGACATACTTGCTGCCCATATGGTTGAGTGACTCCTTGTACTCGGAATGTGTACTTGGTCAGGACTGACGTATCCTTGATGACCGCTTCAAAGCTGAATGGTCCACGCTTGAAATGGTGTTTACAGCTGATTGGTGTACCAGGAGCCACTGCAAAGTGCACATGCTCCCTATACCCGCAAGGGGCAGCTGAGCTGAGATGCACAGAAGCATTATGAGAGAACAAGGAGTCCCTCTAGAATGCACGACAAGCAAAGTCCTCCAGGTACCTGCGCGGATGGTGACCAAAAAGAAGGTTGGTCAGAGCGGGATTTGAACCCGCGCCAATTTCTTGACCGGGAACCTCAGTGTAACGAGGAAGTAGCGTATGCAAGCTGCTTGAATCCGGCGCCTTAGACCACTCGGCCATCTGACCATCGAGATGCCGGGTGACAATTTGCATACAGCTCGCGCGCATTCCAGTTGTGCCCAATGGACACATTCTGGCCGCACTGCCCTTTCGCGAGTGTACAGGCTCGTTTCCCGGCCCTTCCAATTACCAAATACAGTGATGACACACAGCATGCAAACTTGAACAAGCAATGTGGATGTGAAAGAGCACAAAAGCAACAACACACGTGTCCCCCACCTCACTGCAAGCTCTGCTCAGATCGTCTCCTTGCGCCGCTCACGCTTCTCGCCCTCCTCCATCAGCTCACGCAGGCGTGCCTCCCACACAGGCACGTCGGCAAGCTTCTGCTCGAGTGACTGCTTCTCTTCCTGCAGAGCAAGGCGCGCCTCCCAGTCGAGTGGACCAAACGCGTAGTCGCCACCGCCGAGGTACTGTTGGGGAGAGGCGAGGGAGGAGGATGGTGTCCGGGACGAGCGCGCGAGCAGCGGGCAAGAAAGTTGTAGTAGAGGAGCAGAGGCGAGGACGCAAGCACAGGGTGGCACGGAAGAGGAGGCAAGGTGCAAAGTGGCAGGTCAGCCCGCGGACGACAGGAGCCGAGAGAGAGGCAGACAGGACGACGCACGTGGAGGATGTACTTGTGGTACTTCCATAGCGAAGGCCTGTGCGAGACGGTGAGGAGCGTGATGCCGAGCTCTGCGCAACAGATTGCCTCGGTCAGGTCCGTCTGAAGACCAAAGAGACGGCAAGAGGGAGGGACGAACCGGTCGCACGCTCGTAGAAGAGCTGCTCAACCTGCAGGGTGACGGCACTCGTGCACTCGTCGAGGATGGCGTACTGTATCTCCGACGTCAGCGCCCTGCCCCTTTGCGTAGCTAGCCGGGAAGCCGTCCGAGGCGACGCACCTTGGGGCAGTGGTAGAATAGCCTCGCCATCGCGAGCCTCTGCTTGTCGCCTCCGCTGAGCGCGTCGCGCCACTCGCGCTGTGTGTCCCAGCCGCCCTCGCGCTCGACAATGCCGTCGACCTCGAGCAGCGCGAGGATCGAGAGGAGGTCCGCGTCCGTGATGCCGCCTGTGCGTACGCCCGGAAGGGTTAGGAATGCGCATAGACAACGAGACAAAGACATCAACAGTACGCACGAGCGAGCATCTGCGAGCGCGAGTGCGGGTAGATGATCTGGTCGCGCAGAGTGCCGAGCGAGAGGTAGGGTCGCTGCGGGATGTACGTGAACTCGCTCGCGGGCGGCTTCGTCACGGTACCACCTGCGAGGGTGGATGGGTGAGCGTCGCTTGGCGCGGGAGGACGGGAAGGCGCGCACCGTAAATGGGCCACAGCCCGCCGAGGATGCGGAACAGCGACGACTTGCCCGTCCCGTTCCCGCCGACGACGAGCAGGTGGTTCTGCGAGGCGAGAGACCGTGAGCGCCATCGCCGAGCCAGTCGAGACAGAGGGCAAACACACCCCAGGCTTGACGTAGAAGCTGAGGCTCTTGATGAGCACGTCGCCTGTTCACGTGCAGGGGACTCAGTAGTGGCCCTGCGCCGGTGGAGCGGCATAAGTGGGCGCACCGTTGGGCGTGACGATGGGGACCTTGTCAAAGACGATCTCGTTGTCCGAGTGGACAATCTTGCCGCGGCCTTGCAGGACTGCCGGCGGGCGACACGGTCAACTCGGGCATTCGTGCCGCGCGTGCGGCCCCGCTCAAGAAGGGGCGTGCGAGTAGGTCTCGAGAGGCAGGCTCGACGCACTCTTGGCGTTCTCGGCGACCTCCTCTCCCTTGCCGACGAGCCGGCCGGCAGTGCTCCCACCGCCGACGAGCTTCTTCTGGTACTTGCCCTGCTTGACGTCGTCCATCGTGTCGAGGAGCTCGGAGACGCGCGCAGTGTATCCCGACAGCTCCGAGAGGTCGCGGTACGTCGACATGAGGCGCTGCGACGGAGCGAAGATCGTGAGTTGGTAGCCCGCAGGCGATGTTCCCGCCTCTTCCCGGAGGAACGGACGAGGAGGAGAATCAGACGCACCCCGAGCGCGTCCGATGCCGACAGGAGCAGGCGGCGGTTGGTGACAAAACCTGAGGGGTTCGGGATGAGTCCATCAGCACTGAGCGCCAGGTGCCGCAGGTCACGAGCACGCCGAGCCAAAGCGTCAAGGTGCCGCACCCTCTGTCCGACTGCCAAAGTCGATCTTGGCAAGCGAGTCCGTGCTGATGCCGACGAGCCTGGCGCCAAAGACGGGCACCGCGCACACGCACAGCCCCAAGCTGCCCCAGACCCACTTGACGATGCCCTCCTCGACGAGCGCGTAGGCCATGCGCATGCGGAACACGCGATTGACGTGCTTGATGAGCGAAAAGTACGTCCGCTCGATGATGTTCTTCTCGGTCTGCGCGCCGCGGAGGAGCGACACTTCCTCGGCGTGCTCGAGGAGGCGAGTGTGCGCAAAGCGGTACTCGCCCTCGAGGCGCTGCTCCTCGGCAGCGTAGCGACCAAAGGGCGGCGTCGCGTACTTGAGCAGGGCGGCAGAGGCCTGAACGATGACAGTGAGGGCGATGAGGCCTTCGGCGCCGACAGACCTGGAGAGCTGGTAGTTGTAGACGAGGACGTCGAGCACTGGCTTGGCGATGTTCGAGCTATCGCGGGAGTGAAAGGTCAGCGTTTGCCGGATCATGCACCGGAGCAGACCGGTCACGGGGCGACTCTGGCTGCGACGGCCGGAGTCGAGAGAAGCTGGACACACTAGATCTCGGCGAGCGACGTCGAGAACTTCTGGATGTCGACCACAATGAGCTGGTCGGCGTTCTTGATGCGGTCATCGAGGTTGCCGAGCGCGTAGAACGTCGTGCCGTCGAGGTAATCCTCGTGGACCTTCTTCGTCAGGCGCGTGCGGTACGCGATGGCTGGTCGAAGCAAGCCATGGCTGGGTCAGCGAAACGCGCAAGAGGGCATGTCGAGACGCCACGAGTCGAGCAGAGAGGCCCTGCACGTACCGAGCTTGCTCTGTAGGTAGGTGAGCATCGAGTTGGTGTAGGTCGCCGGGACAGCGACGGCCATCCAGGTAAGGATGCGCAGGACGAACTGCCGCGGCTGAGCGCGCACGAGGGCCGAGACGATCGAGCCGTCTAGCGAGGCGACGTAGAGCGAGAGGAGCGTGCGCATGACGAGGAAGAAGGAGTGGAGGACGAGGAGGGATGCCTCTTTCGAACGGAAGGAGGGCAGGACGATGCGGAGGAGGCGCGAGAGTCGCTGGAAGAAGAGGGCATCGACCTGTAGGGACGGCAGAGCGAAGCGTCAGCGGGCTCTGAAGGGCACGAGCGCGCTTTGTGCGCGCCAAGTCGAAACAACGGCCACGAGCTGTCTCGCAAGCTGAAACGGGGGCGACACACTTCGACTCGAGGTCCCCGCCGCTTGCGTCCCTTGCCTCCTGCACTCGCCGCATTGGCCTCACCCGCGACGTCCGCGCGCTTCTCTGCGACCGCTTCGCTGGACTGTGCCGACGCGGCAGCACCCTTGGCCTTGCGCTTCGCGCTGGACGAGCCCGTGAGGCCGGCGTACGTCTGCGCGTGAACGGGACAAAGTCAGTACCCGCATTCCGCTGACCAGAACTGGCAACGTGACGAGTTGCGGTCCGCTGCGGGGGCTCCACTGGCAGGCCGGTGGGCGTCGCGAGGGGTTCTGGGGCGGTTGCTCACATTCTGCAAGACGTAGGCGCTGAAGGCGACCATGAGCAGGTTCGAGTACAGCCTGCGCCGACTCAGGTAGTGGGCCGCGAGCGGGAGCGCGTAGCCGTCGCGCAGCCGGCGGCGCAAGGTTGACTGGGCGGGCGCCATGTTTGCGCGAGTCGAGTGCGGCGCGATGCTTGTAGAGCTGATGCGCTAGAGTGCAGGGCCCCGGCGGAGGGGTGCGGGCGGGCGAGAGGCGCAAGGGGAGGAGGAGGTCGGCTGGCAAGTGGGGGGGGAGGATGAGGATGGCTCGAGGTCGGGCTGACGCGGCTGTGCGGGTGCGCGAGGGACGACCTAACGACCTGGTGGACTGCCTCGCAGCTGGCGGGGGCGGGAGGGCGCGTGGGAAGTGGGGGAGAGCTGCTGGTCGGACCCGAGGTCGCCGCCCGCGCCGGGTTTCGTCAGACCTGGCGAGGTTGCACGTGCCACTCGACCAGGCGGGTATGCCTCGGGGCCACAGACGTGCGCAGCTGTCTCGAGGCCAGTCCAACTCTCAGAGGAGCAATCACGCCCTGGCGAGTCTTCCTGCCCAGCAAGAGACACCGCTCGTCGCGAGAGCGCGGCGGCGGCGGGCGCGTGCACAGCAATGAATGCGCAGCTGTCGGTGCTCGCTCACCTCACATTCCGCGGCTCTGAAGACAGTCCCGGAAGGCACTCTTTGACACAACGAGACCTACGTCCGCCCGAGGAGACGACTGAGCCGACGCGCGGACGCGCTTCAGCGTTCCACCCGCTTGCGGCGCCAGTTCGCGTCGGGGCGGAAAACGGGCAAGCCCACCGGACCGTTTGTGTCGGCGCGGGCCTGTGGGAGGTACGAGAAGGTCGAGAGCTGCTCAATGTCGCGCACGGCGCCGATCGAGCTCGAGACCTGCGAGGCACGTCGAACGAGGGTCAGCTTCGTCTGGGCAACTTGAAGCCGGGAGCGGAGCAGGGACGCAACGCACGATCATGCGCTGGACCCGCTCCAAGAAGGTCTGCATCGTCGCGACCACCTTCCAGACGGGCGTGCTCGTCGCGGCACGGTAGCCGTCGTGTCCGACGAGCCACTCGGCCCAGTCCCACAGCACCCGGGGCGAGAACGTCTTGTCCCTGTCGCCGAGCATGACGAGGACCTTTTTGTAGTTGGACCGGCACTTGAAGTCCGCCCAGTAGGCAGAGTCGCGCTGGGCGGCTGGCGCCTGCATCGAGCCCTCCCACAGGTGCGCGCCGAAGCGCCTCTCCCAGCCCGAGCTGCTCCAGTCGAACGGGCCGGCGCCCCCCCGGTTGGGGCGGAGGAAGATGAGGGCGAAGATGTAGAGCGCAGAGAGG